CTTCCCTGTCCATCACCAAATCCCAGAGTCCACCCAATGCCATGTCCATCGAGTCGGTGATGCCATCCAACTATCTCATTCTCTGTTATCCCCTTCTCATCCTGCCCTCAATCTTTCCCAGCATCAGAGTCTTTTCCAGTGAGTCAGCTCTTCGCATGAGGTGGCCAAAGTATTGGAGTTTCAGCTTCAACATCAGTTCTTCCAATGAACACTCTTTTAGGATGGACTGGTTGCATCTCCTTGCACTCCAAGGGGCTCTCAACAGTCTTTTCCAACACCACAGTTCAAAAGCATCAATCCTTTGGTGCTCAGCTTTCTTTATAGTCCAACTCTCACATCCATACATGACTACTGGAAAAACCATAGCCTTGACTAGACGGAAATTTGTTGGCAAAGTAATGTCTCTGCTTTTGAAAATGGTATCTAGGTTGGTCATAACTTTCCTTCCAAGGAATAGGCATCTTTTAATTTCATGGCTGCAATCACCATCTGCAGTGATTTTCGAGCCCAGAAAAATAAAGTCTGACACAGTTTGCCTGTTTCCCCATCTATCTGTCATGAAGTGATGGGACTGGATTCCATGATCTTAGTTTTCTGAATGTTGAGCTTTAAGCCAACTTTTTCACTCTCCTCTTTCACTTTCATTAAGAGGCTCTTTAGTTCTTCTTCACTTTCTGCCATAAGAGTGGTGTCATCTGCATATCTGAGGTTATTGATATTTCTCCTGGCAATCTTGATTCCAGCTTGTGCTTCCTCCAGCCCAGTGTTTCTCATGATATACTCTGCATATAAGTTAAATAAGCAGGATGACAATATACAGCCTTGATGTACCCCTTTTCCTATTTGGAACTAGTCTGTTGTTCCATGTCCTGTTCTAGCTGTTGCTTCCTGACCTGCATACAGGTTTCTCAAGAGGCAGGTCAGGTAGTCTGGTATCCCCATCTCTTTCAGAATTTTCCACAGTTTATTGTGATGCACACAGTGAAAGACTTTGGCATAGTCCATGTTTTTCTGGAACTCTCTTGGTTTTTTGATGATCCAGCAGATGTTGGCAGTTTGATATCTGGTTCCTCTGCCTTTTCTATAACCAGCTTGAACATCTGGAAGTTCACAGTTCACATATTACTGAAGCCTGGCTTGGAGATTTTAAGCATTACTTTACCAGCATGGATATGAATGCGATTGTGCGGTTGTTGAGCATTCTTTGGCATTACCTTTCTCTGGTATTGGAATGAAAACTGACCTTTTCCAGTCCTGTGGCCACTGCTGAGTTTTCCAAATTTGATGGCATATTGAGTTCAGCATTCTCACAGCATCATCTTTCAGGATTTGAAATAGTTCAACTGGAATTCCATCACTTCCACTAGCTTTGTTCATAGTGATGCTTCCTAAGACCCACTTGATTTCACATTCCAGGATGTCTGGCTCTAGGTGAGTGATCACACCTTTTGATTATCTGGGTCGTGAAGATCTTTTTTGTACAGTTCTTCTTGTGTCTTATTACTTATATTCCTGTTATGGAAATTTGATTTTGAAATGATTATTTAATATTATAAAACTTTTGATAGTTTGTAACTGACCATTGTCATGTGAATAATGTGAACAAAATTAGTGGAGATTTTTAAAAAGAAATCTATACTTGAACATTTGTTACTGGAAACATTTCTTACTTAAAACCCCAAATCACATGTTGTAAAGAAATCTTTTAAATCTAAAAATAATCTCATGTCATGATTTCAATGATCACCTCTATATCAACACATCTGAGTTTAATAAGTAGTCTAATCTCCCTTCAGAAGACATATCTAGTTTGTTAACAAGGATGCATTTGGGGCCTAAAATAATACTTTTTCATAAGATTGATGTGAAATGAATATCATATGTACTGAGAAACAAATAGATCAGTAATAACAAATTAAAAGGTTTGAAGAACAGTACTATCTCTTCAGTTATTGGAGAGTAAAAAAAAAAAATTATCAATAATGTGGTTTTCAATTCATTATTATGGGTTTGCATTCCTCTAATGCATGCTATTTCTTTTTCCCAGTTAAACTACCCAGAGATGAATAAATAAACTAGTGAATTCTCATGCTCCAAATAATTCAGTAAGTTAAACTGAGTGCAAGGCCTTTACTAATAAGTTGCAGTAGTCATAGGATACAGTTAAAACATGGAGCATATACACACACACACACACACACACACACACATATATATATATTTACATACATACAAACTGATGCCCTGTATTCCATATTTATTTCTTTTAAAGAAATCCAGTGAGGTCTTTATCTAGTCCATAAACCTTGAGAGTGACATACAATGTTTAACTGTAAGAACTCTATACTAATAGTGGACCAAAAACAAACCAACGAAATATTCAACAGTATGAGTAACACACTCTTCTAGGCAGGATTTTTCCATTCTTGGGTATAATCATTGCATTTATAGAAAACAAGTCTATTTTTCCTTATGTCACAAATCAAGAAAGTCAGAGGAGAGTTCACAGTACAACTACTAAAATCACTGTTTTTTTGGCACATACACATTTTGTAATTTACCATAATACAGAGATTTTTGTGTATAAGCCATTAAAATATGCTTACCAATAGGTCAATGAGATTTAGTCAATGACATCAACTGTTGATTCCATTCACAGTGGCTGATTATTGAGACACACACACACATACACACATAGACTTTCCAGGTGACTCGAAGGTAAAGAATCCGCCTGCTAATGCAGGAGATGCAGGAGACACAGGTTCGATCCATGAGCAGGGAAAATCCCCTGGCAAACCACTCCAGTATTCTTGCCTGAAAAGTATCCCATGGACAGAGGAGCCTGGCAGGCTACAGTCCATGGAGTTGCAAAGTCTCCAATGTGACTGAGCACACACACGCATACCAACACATACACACGAACACATACCTCACAGATTTAAACATTAGAATTAACATTATTTCTTTAAAAACTCTTATAAAACAGTTAAAATTAAATATATAAGGCAAAGTTATTAGTATTTTTAACATTCACACTATTTCTACTTATAAACAGTATTCTTTTAAGTGAAAATAATGGAAATTAGTTAATTAAACAAAAGTCAAATGGGAACTGCTATTGTTATAGAAGCACAAACTTATCAACTGTTTCGGAAATGGTCTACTTAACAAGCTATCTGAAAAGTAAAAGTTTTACTCTTCATCCTTTGTTCAACCAACTATATCAAATTAGAAGGTATTTTTCTGCTTGATTTTACTGACTTTGATTTTAAAAAAGCATGACACCATATGATTTTATTCTGTATTTGATACATTTTCTAGTTAAGGATCATAATCATTTTTAATATTCTGTGGTGCAAAATTTCATCATGCATTGGTAATTAAGTGATTTTAATAATACACAGGGGACACATTAATGTAGCATCTGTCTGTGTGGCAGCCATTAAGTGACAGTTTAATTGTGGGCTAGTTTCGCTATTCACTGTGGCTAATTTCTGAAAGATTTTTACAATCAAGGCTCTCATGAGCAGAATGTTCAGGAGATCATATATGAGCTATATCTCTCTCTCCATAAGAACTAATAATTTCAGTGTTCTTGAGACCTAACCATTAATTTATATAAATGAAACTTACCTTATGTTATGATTGATCATTTAAGCAATCATTTTCTAGTGATTCATTGCTGAGCTTGAAGAAAATGACACTGTTTTATCTAGCTTCCTATCTAGAGATAGAGATACCAGGAAACATATCTGTAATTTTATATAATGACATTTCATTTCAGAAAAAAAGCAAACTTATACCAACATTAATGTCTTGATTTGTGAAGAAATATTGTCTTGATCCTTAAGACTGCTATTAAAAATATATTATATACTGAGGAGCTTGTAGACAACAGAAGCTTATTTCTGACAGCTCTAAAGTCTGGGAATCCAAGAAGAAACACGAGCATGTGGCATTCTGGTGAGGACTCTCTTCTGGTTTGTTGCCTGCACATCCTCACCACGTCCTCACATGGTGAAAGGGTGAGAGATCTCTGTGGGATCTCTTTTCGTAAGAGCACTGTCTCATTCATGAGAGCTCCACCTTGATGACAGAATCACCTCACCAAGGCCCAACCCCTCTGGCTATCACATTAAGCATTAGAATTTCAACATATGAATTTGGGGGGGGGTGATATGAATATTCAAACCAAGTATATATAAAAGTAAGATTTTCAACAACACAAAGAAAGGTAGACCAAGAATTGAAAAATATTTAAGACAACAATACAATTTTGTTTGAGAAAGTAGATTTTTATATATGCAACAACCTATATCATTTATTTGGGAATAAATAAGTTCTTGGCTTCTGACTAGTATTCTTCACTTGATTTCAAAGAAACCTGTCAGAATAAAGTATTTCCTGAAAATAACTGCTACCACTTTGGTGCAATGACATAAAAATGTGTATTATAAAGAATAAACATGAATCATGAATTATGAGTTGCACCAAGAGAGAAATTTACAGTAATACCTTGGGTTTATTTTTTACAAAGTATTACACAGAAATGAAGTATTTTATTTTACAAATAAAAATAGATATATTTTTAATATAGATGTTAGAATGTCAGCTAGAAACCATCTGGATAGTTAGTGTCACCATATAGTATAAAACCAAACCAAGCCAGTGAGAGAGAGAGAGAAAGAGTACTAACATGAGGAGGATGAAGAGGAAGAAAAGGAAGGGGAGAGAAAGAAGAGATGGAAAAAGTGGGGACTGGATGAAGGGGGAATGAAGAGAAGGAAAGAAAGAGGAGTAAGAGATAGAAGATAAAAAAGAAGGGAAGAAGACAATCTTTGTTCCCTGTGGGGAGTAACGAAAACTGTATGCCTCAAATTGAAACTATATTAATTATTTATGTATTTTTGTTTAAAGAAATTTGTCTGATTGTCTGAGTCAGAAGCAATTAAAATAAAAGCAAAAAAGTGATTTTTTTTTCTATCTGTAGGAGAATATGAATATTAAATCATTTCTGGCATCATGCAGTGGGTGAGTAATCAATAAATATAGTGTATGATATAGAAGAAAAAGCATAGTAAATTTATATAGGAGATTCAAAGAATAATATAAAGCTTTTAAAATATAAAGCTAGTTGCAATTTTCAAAACATAAGCATATATCTCAATGCAAAACACATAAGAAATCTTAAAGATTTGTAACTCATTTTTATACCGTTTCCAACTCAAATAACTTTAAAGAAGTGTTTTCAATGTGAAAAAAATCAAGAACAAATGTGTAGTCAAACATCAAGAGAGATTAATAGAAATGCAAAATACTCTGCATCTATTGAACACAGAAGTCTAGTTATCAGGAATCAACTAAGTATACAACAAAACTTTTTAGAACAAGTAAGATTCCTAGAAAATTACAGTAGATAGGATAAGGGAGAACATCCTTACAAGGACAAAATAACTGATATTTCAGTATTTACCAACAGCTCCGAATCTGCTGATTGATAGAGAAGCTATACAGTAAACAAGAGACTTGATTAATATTGTCTACTTAGCATGTGCTCTGATTAATATCTGCTCCATACCCAAAGCAGTGAAATGTGAAACAGAAAAAAGATATATTGTGGAGTTAGAATTTAATGTATATATTTCTATGACATATTGCTGTTCTGCACACACACACATACACACACACACTGCTGTGAATTAAAAATGGAACCAAAAACACAAAATTACTTTTGGCATGTAGATCAGGCAATGAGAGATAGATAGTGATGTTCTCTAATGTATTCTATATGATCATATGCTGCTTTGATCCACTCTCACCAAAGGATCCATTTCTATATAATGAGCCACATACATAGCTGAAAATATTGCCTGAATTTCTAGACTGTGGAAAGAAGGAGGTTTTCAAAGCAACAGAGATAAATGTGGAGTTAGATACATATTGGCATTACCAGTAGATCTGTGGATCCCCATGGGATAGCAAATCCATAGGTACATCATGTTACTAGTTTTGAGGTAGAGATCTACATAGCTAGTGGAAGTTTCACAGTTAAACGTCCTCATTTACCTTAAAGAGTGAGGCTGGAATACAGCCTTCTGAAGATTTTCTCTTAAAATGATTCTCCTTCTACTTGTATTTTACTATGAACAAATTGTTTGCTTTGAGTATAATTACCAAAATTGGAAACAAAACAAAACAAACATTAGATTTCATACTTTTGACAAGTCCTACCTGGATTGCCCAGAACTGCTAAACAGAAGTATTCTATATCCAAACTGTCCATAAAGTAGTCATATTTGACAAGTGCAATTAATAAATCAGATTTTTAATTTAATTTAAAATTTTAAATTTCAACATCCTATTGGCTAGTAATCACCATATCAGGAACTGCAGATCTAAAAACTTGCATTTGAGTAAAGGGGTAGATATGCTTTATAACTTCAGACCAATGTGTAAGATGTTAAGATGTGCCTCAGATCTTCAGTTTCAGTAATTAGAATCATATCCATCTTTACAGTGTAAAATACCATAAAGCTAGAAAAAATATAGAAAACAACTGCTCAGAGTCATTGAAAATGACTAGAATAGGCAGTTTGAAGGTCTAAGATATCTAGATATCTAAAAGAGTGACAAGTGAGAGCAGCACGTTCATATTTTTTAAACACATTGATTTGTTTGTTGATTAATGGCTAAAGGAAACAGAAAAAGTTGAGAAGAGCAACAGAATGTTTGCAGCGCTCTCTCTGAGCTGGGGATTTAGAATATGTATTCAAGGTTTTTTCATGGAGGTTGAGATTTGAAGATGAGAAAATGTCCTAGAGAAGGTACCTAAAGCACTTAATGTTATTTCTTCTCAAGTCATTTTCCAAAACTTAAACAGAATATAAGAACATGAACCTTTCCCAAATCAAAGATGAATCCTAAACACAGACAAAAACCATAAGATCCAGAATGAAAGTGTTTCAACTATATACTTTGTTGCAGAAAAATGATACAATATAACAGAGGTATGCAAAATAGCTAAAGGCTGCATCAAACTAAGGGTTAAGCAGAAGCCAAGTGTAAATTTCAGTCTCCCTTTGAGGGAACCATGCTGCAAGAGTTTTCTCTCTTGGAAAGAGAACTACTGGTATTAATGGAACAATTCAGAATCAGAGAGCCCAGAATAAAGTCACATCCAGAATTCCTAATACCCTGCTGTCTAGAATGTATATTCTTGCTACGCAATAAGCCTTCAGTGGCAGAGCCCATAGAATACTGAGAACAGATGCAAATCATCAATTTCACTGTTATCCATAAAAAACACTGTCAAGTTTGTACAAAGCACTCCATATTTCTTTAGACCCAGGGTTACAGAACACACAATTAATCAGAAAATTTTATGTCGTCGCCAGGGGTCAGTGACATTGAGATACATATCACATTTCAGTAAAACAGCTCAGCCAAAGTGTAGGCCAGCTCACTTACCTTTCCTGCACACTGGAAGAATAAAGCTGAGAAAAGATTTCAGCAGATTCAGAATATGGCAAATTGGAAGCACCCTGAAATGTAATAGGATTTCTATTTTGAACCTACAGATTTTACTTCCTGCTAAGATGCAGTGGTATCCATATTTTCTGTAAATTTACTTCTCTGACACTCAAAAATGACAGTGTCAATGAAAATCAGTGATCCTAAAGACATGGCAAGCAAACATTGTGAGGCCTGTACTCACCTAAATTTACTGCCTTTGAGAATTTTCTAGAAATAGATCAAGGAGGGAGAACCAGGTAGAGTCTTGTTGAAATCCTGAGCAGAGAAGAGGAAGCTGATGATGAGGATAGGACAAGGAAGCTAGAATTTAAGGAAGACTAATGCAGAGGGGAGAGGTAGAGATAGGGAGAAATCCAGGCATCTTCAGAGTCTTCCTTCATTATTCATTAGAGTACTGAACAGAACATGCAGTGAGAAAACTACTTGAGTCTGGGGAAGAACCACCCAAGCCAATTAGAGCTAACATTTTTAAAGCATCCACAAACAGCTGGGTACACTGCTTTTTTGTAAATAGCCAGACAGCAAAACCTTTTGACTCACAGATCGCAGAAACTCAACAAACTCCAAGTACAAGAAATAATAAAGACAACTATACCAAGCCACATTATGATGAAATTATTCCAAACCAGTATTAAAAAGAAAATCTAATAGCAGTCTGAGTTTAAAAAGACACACACACAAAAAAAAAAAAAAAAAAACTTGCTCTCTTTATCCAAATGGTGAGAAAATGGAGCAAAGACACACACACAAAAAAAAAAAAAAAAAAAAAGACACATCATAGTATACAGAAGAACAAATATAAAGATGACCTTGCAGATAAGCCCCTCTGGACTAATTTAATGTCCTGTTATTGCTTTTCCATGAGAATGTGTAGCAATAATTGATGTTCTATACTCTTGTAATTCCCCATCTTATAAGTGTCAGAAGGAATTATATTGATAGGAAAGGGCTGCATGTACAGAACTGCATCTCTAATGACCCATTTCAACTCTATGAAACTGATTTTTTTTTTTTTTTTTTACTGTAACTTCTGAAAGCAGCCTTCTCACAGGTATCTCTTGGAGTCTGGGTTCCTAGCCTCCATGACAGGACTCAGCTATTAGCTTATGAATGGGGTCATTTTACAATCGGAATGCTAGATCCAGGAGAGCTTTTGATTCTCTAACCTGCTATTTAAATTCTTGTGTGGGAATGGCATCAGCCTGCAGCACTTTGCTTTTTTAGCATAAAACTAGATTAATCTGCCAACCATAACCCTTTTGAAAATAAAGCTTCTGTCTAGCACAAATGGGTCTACTGTACTGTCATTCTACTGAAAAGTAATCCCCCAACACACCCAAGACAATGGATCCATGAAAATGTCAATACATTGAAATATCTATGAATATTCACTGAATTTATTTTCACTCCTTGGCTTTAATTTATCTTTATGGAGCATCCAGGATATCTAACAGACATCCAGGTAACAACAAATTCTTTTCACCAGAATCAGTTGGAATGTTATCAATTTAAAGATACAGTATGGCGTCCTGCGGTTCATGGGGTCGCAAAGAGTAGGACATGACTGAGCAACTGAACTGAACTGAACTGAATGTTGCTATATTGAATGTCAAGTCAATCAAAATGCTATAGACTGTAATAAGGCAGATAGCAGGATAGGTAAAATAATCTTGAAGGTAAGACGGTGATGTGCTCCTCTCCTTTTTATTCCATTGGAAGACAAATTGCTTTTGACTCTCCCTGCTGAGTATTTGAAATAATACATTTATAAAATCAGTGACTGCATATTTGAATAAATCAGTAGCTGCATATTTCATTGACTTATTCTGGTGAAGACCCCATATCCAGCAGAGTGAATCAGTGAGGACAAGACTTCGTTGTGTAGGTAAACACCATCATTTGCTTTGACCCATTTGACTTTCACAGACAGCCAATAGGTGAAGACACGGAAATGCACTGGTGTGAGAAGAACTGCTATCTTCAAGTAGCTCAATGGTCTTTTGTAGGCAAGGGCTGATGAGAAGAGATGTTGGAGAGCTTGGTTTCCTGATGGTAATGGACTTTTGATAAGATTTAAAAAAAATGGAGGTCAGGTGCTGGTACTTAATCAGATAAAGCCAATGAATTCAATTATTTTAATAAGCAGAGATACAAAACTGACAGAATGGCTTTACCCACAGGGCTTGACCCAAATAGCTATGGAGATATTTAATAGAACATGGACTTCCCAGGAGTAAGAAACATGGACAGTCAAAAAGGATAATGCTATGTATAAAACACAAAATGCATTCAGGTAGATGGCAAGAGGCAGCACTGCCAATAAACTGGCATAAACGTTTGCCCTGTTTTTAAGCTTGAACCACTAAGAAGCTCAGAAACCCACTGACTGAAGAGAAGCCTGACTCTGAGAAAGGATGCTGAAACACTGTAGCAAGCATGCATAATAATAATTCCTCTTTTTGTTCCACCAAGTATCCTACGGATAATTACTCAGGCAA